AATTATTATATGAACGTTTATTATAAACGTTTATTATAATAGCTTATATATAATAATTATTATAAGGCAAGAACGTTTATTATATGAATATATCTTTTGATCATTTTGATCAATAGTTTAACATTTTTATTATAAAAAGATACACATGATTATAAAACCATATGAGTAAANATTAAATTATTATATGAACGTTTATTATAAACGTTTATTATAATAGCTTATATATAATAATTATTATAAGGCAAGAACGTTTATTATATGAATATATCTTTTGATCATTTTGATCAATAGTTTAACATTTTTATTATAAAAAGATACACATGATTATAAAACCATATGAGTAAAAAGTATCATTCAATAATAATAAAAACTATATATATATATATATATATATATATATATATATATTAAACTATATACCATATAAGATTACATACTTATTTTAATTTCAAAAATTTCAATGAATTTTCAAGAACATTTATAAATTATAAACGTATAAAATTTTTCACATTGAAAATTTTTGTTATTAATGATTTAAATATATTAGTTCTTTCTAAAAAATTTCTATTTTTTAAAGATATTAACACAGTCGATAAATGATTATTTTTGGTATATACCATACAAACCGAATGTATGTGATTTTATAAAAACCATAAGATTTGGATATGATTTGATTTATAATCGATTAAACTGAAACATGTAAATATGTATATCTATTTGTTACATAAGTTGAACTATAATTATGATTTGTAAATCACTTGAATCACTTGAAATATAATTAACTAACAATTTAATGCAACTGAGGCTTCTTATTTTCTTCGTCTTTTTTTAATCTTTTTTTTATTTTTTTTTAATAAAACTAAACTGAAGTAAAAATTATAAATTTGATGGACAACAATTAGTTGAAATTCTTTACAATTTTTTTTAATCTTTAAACAAATAGAGTTGTGTTCAATCGAAGACATATTAATTTGATGAACACTAAATATGGAAGAATATAAAAACTTTTCTTTCATGCTTCTGTTTTGTTTTTGTTTTTATTTTTATTTTTATTTTCAAAATTTAGAGATTTGATATTAATTCTAGATTTGATCATTTTATTAGATCATAGAAGCCTTTTTTTGTTTTTAATTCTTTTAGTTAAATATATAATATATTTTTTTAGTAAATGACTTTTTGACAATATGACTCTAAATATGATCATATTATTTATTTTATAATATGTAATNCAAAATTTAGAGATTTGATATTAATTCTAGATTTGATCATTTTATTAGATCATAGAAGCCTTTTTTTGTTTTTAATTCTTTTAGTTAAATATATAATATATTTTTTTAGTAAATGACTTTTTGACAATATGACTCTAAATATGATCATATTATTTATTTTATAATATGTAATATGATTTCAAACTAAATAATGATGTATATTGGTATAAAATTGAATAAACTGAAAACCAATATATAAACCAAATCAAACTGAAGTAAATATGGATTTAAAATAGTAGTTATATTTTAATAACCAAAATACGGAAACCCGATATCCAGATTGAACATTCTTAATCTAGATGAAACCGAACTTTTGTTTCATTTTCCAAAACATAATAAAAATAATAATTTCATCCCGCGCAAGGCGCGGGTCTTATCCTAGTTGCTTAGTATAATTAAGAGAGCTCCACCATAATGTAACATTTAAACTTTATTGTGAAATTTGGCAAGTTTCACAAAATATATTTGACAAAATGACATGCAAGAAAATTAAGTATTTATTGTCACGGGTTGCAACAAAGACGTGGATATATGGTCACGGGTTGCTGTCGAATGATACCAAAGATCAATTCTGAATACAATAAGGCAATCATTCATATAAAGTTAAAGCCACTATTCTTGCTAACTACTTAAAGTTTTTTTTGTAAGAATGAAAATTATTACACTTTTAGTCTATTTCTATATGTATTTGAATGTTGAGCATCTTTATCTTATCTATCTCACCATTTAAAAATACGAGGTAGATATTTTCCATGTTCCTGAATATCATAATATTGGTATGTGAACCGTGTGCGGAAAAAGACAAACAGTATATATCCAGTACTAAATTCGTTGAATTAATGAACAGCTACCAAGAATGACAGAAAGTAGATAAAGACAAAACAATCTAGAAACATGATTTGGAGTTTTGCTGCACATTGAATGTTGGGTGAGGAAAACAAAGATATGAATGAAATAAGTCCAAATAATCCTCAGAGAGCCTGTCCATTATATATTCATACTGTCTCGGGTAAGTTAAAAAGTTTAACCGAATGTGAACAAGTTCAAAAATAGACTGTAGTACTATAAAGTATGAGACCAGTAAAAATAATTGCAACATGATTTGCTAGTTTGCAACAACTATCGATGTACTGATTGCAACATGACAATATAACATTTATGATTCTTAAATTATTCGCAGCGGCCACGATATATATGCACATCAATATAAACACGAACTATAGTTTGGAGTTTTCAAATTAATAAAAATTGAGCTATAACAAGTAATAGTGTCTTAAAGAGGCAATAGAGTATTAAAAGCTGTTTTACAAAGAGTATTAAGGTGAACCAAATAAACTATATACACACACTTTTTGCTAAAACAAAACAAAATGTACTTGCTATGAGTCTTATCACTCAAAATCCACAATTAAAAACCACAACAAGTTTTTTATTATTAACTACGTCAATTAATAAAAAAAAAAACTACGTCAAATAATGTTTTTTTTTTCGTCAAAGAAACTGACCTCCGTTGAGCCAGAGGACAAGAGGACGACCAGAGGAGTTTTTTTGAGCTTCGAAGAACCAATAGAAAAGTGCCTTTTGCTTCTGTCGTGGCCCGAGACTCACGTAACCGGCGTAATGTCTGAAATTAACCGGTGGTTGGCCAGGCAAACCGGTTACTAGATCATCTTCCTTCCTCCCCGGCGAAGCCGTTAGCTTCTTCTCCGGATTCCTACCACAGGCTATGGCCGGAAACACCAGAACGCATAGTAGCCAAAGTGCGTGTTTCTTCATCGCCATACACTTTTCTCTCCCTTTTTAGAAAGACCCGAGTATTTTTATCTGATGAGAAAATGCCCACACTTCCTCTTTTTATAAAGTTTTTAATTTTACTGCATGTCTTTATTAAAAGGCATATAGTGATTTATTTGTTTTTAACCTTTTGTTTTATTTTATTTCCTCGAGGCACATAGTGCATTTTTTATTTTTTAACCTTTTACGTTATTAAAAAGGAGAAAACGGAGATGACTGTTCTAGAGACATTGGTAAAGAAATTTCATAAACCAAAAAATATGTGACCCTTTGAAAGTTATGAGAGACAAGATTACTGTAGATTACTGTTCATGGCACACACTGACATCAGGCTTCTTGTATGAATAAATACACTGATAAGATAAGAAACTTCATAGGAGAAAGACAACATCTGTCGAACAGTATCCTTTCCTGTTAATGGGCCTCAGTGGGCTATAAGCCTACAATATCGGTTCCTCTTATTCCTCCGGCATAAGTCTCAATCCATCCAGATACTTAACTCTTGTGGAACCATGACCCTCCACCTTAAGTCCAATCTTCTTTATGCTGTGTGTATTCTGAGATCTCCTCATTGAGGTTGCTCTTAGATGTTACTGGAACTTTTCCTACAACCAAAAGAATCAGTCTTAAGTTTAAAACTAACTAGCAATAAGTAATGATTTAACTATATATACTTAACTTGAACCAAACTCACATACACCAATATTACTGATTTAAGTATCATATTCTGTATTTACATACTTTTTTATATTTAAATAACATGAAAATTTTCGCTTAAATCTAATTGATTTTGATATGAGCATGTAGCATTGACCTGCAAGCTGTGTACGAAAAAAAAAAGTATTTGTGACATTTGCATGGAGTACGTTCTGCACATCTTTTATTTTGAGTCTTAAACTTGTATATGTTTTAATATTACGTATAGTTTGCAAGTGTCTAGGTTATTTTATATCGTATAGTTTCTTTTAATTCGTAGAATACTGGTCTTGAATGGAATGATGAAATAAACCGTCAAATGGGTACAGCCGTACAGGTAAAAAGAATAGACACAAGAAGGAAAATCACCAATTGTCCATATATTTTATTGTACTGAGTATGACTTTTGCCAAATTGCTAAAATATATCCTCATAAATTCGAATTGGTCATCGCGAAAACATCTAAACGAAGAAGTCCGACGTAGAAGTTGGGAACGTGGACACTACGATACTTTTTTTTCTTTTAAACCTGACCTTATTTTTGTATTATCTTTTTTTATTAAATTAGTCTTATGAAGATGAATCTTTGTCAAATCTTTTCACCTTATTGAATAACTTGGTATGCTATTCTTGCTATTATTAATTTTAATAAACTTTGTTATTATGGTTTTATATTGTAGATGGTTTTGCTCATATCGTCTGAACTGGTGACGTAATAAATAAAAGACAAGTTTGCACTGGCATAGTAATTAATGTATTATTTTTTTTGTTATTGAAAGATAATAATGTTTTTTTTTTGCAAACATGATAATAATGTGTTGTTGAGATGTTTTTAGAGGAGATTATTTTTATTTTTTGCTTATATAATATTTCGTTGTTAACTTTCTTCTGATTATTATTTTCCTGATTTCCTATATATATATATGTATTTTTTTTTTGATTAAAGATTTCCTATATATTTATCTGCCATATTAGTTTATTTGGCGTTTTTGTTATCTTTTTCTCTGTATTACCCTGTAAAAAAATTTATTAGCATTTTTTGTGATATTCTTATACACACAACTCAATGTACAGTAATTTATTACAAGTATTTGTTCAAATTTTGTAATAATTCATGCCACCGTGATATCTCCGTCGAATCTTCTAATAAAGTAAGAATTATTATTTTAATTGAATTTTAAAAAGGGATAAATTACAACCGCTCCGAGCGATATATTTCAAAGTCTTCACATCGAATGCACAATGACTCTTTCATTCAACTCGACTTCAATGGCCAAAACAGAGAAGAGAGCCAGAGAAAGAACCGTGTCTTCTTCGTATTTTCTAGGATGTTTCGGACTTTCCCGGAAAATATACTCCGACAAGGCGATGGAAGAGGGTGGCGAGATGAAAACGAAGAAGAAAAACAAGCGAAGTCGTTGGCTTTTATGTTCAAAGTTTCGCTCTAAGAACAGAGAGATCAAACCGGCGCCGTTCGAGGAAACGGAGATAACTACTACGAGTGTGGAAGATGAAACTGATAAGAAGAAACACGTATCGCTGATAAGTCGTGTAACTACTGATCGTAATAAGAATGTTTCGACTGATGATAAGGCCGTGAATCATGAAACAAAAGAGGTATCTCTCCGTACAATCTCAAAAGACTTTTCACTTTATTTTGTCAGAACTCAGAAAGTCATTTTCAGACAATTAAATCTAGTTCCTTTCCAACATGTTTTTCTTTTTTTTTTCTTGATTTCTATAAAAATTATAGTATCAAAATTTGTGGATTTATTGGTTTTTTGAGAATTTTTTTGTTCAAAAAAAAAATATTTGATTTTTTGAGAATTTATTTCATGTTGTTCGTTGCTATTCATTCAGACAAAACCGAATGACTTGCGAGACGTAGCCACCGACCGATCAAAAACGTTTGAACAGTTGGGTTCCTCTAGAGAAGACACGTGTCCTGAACCTATATCCAACATGAAACCGTCTCGGGAGAAAACCGGTTCACGGGTCGGAAAGTTCGACCCGGTTATTGGGATTTCAGTCATTATATTGACGTTGGTGATTATGTTAGTTTGGGGTCGACTCTTTGCGATTCTCTGTACTTCCGCTTGGTGTTACTTTGCACCTCGTCTCAGAAACGCGGCCGCGTTGGTGAAACGCAGCGGTGGTGACGATTCTAAGTATGTACCAGGTTTAAGTTCAGGGTCGTATAAAAGAAAAGCCGTTTCGGACGTGTTTCGTGGACGGCAAAATCGCGTTTCGTTGTTGTGAGTGTTCTTCATTTGTGTTCTATATTTTATAATTGTGTCGTCATATCTTTTTGTTTTTTTTCGTAAACATGGATAAGCATTGTCTCCGTTTACTAACGACGATTGATCGGTTGTGAATGGATACATCAGATGAATAATATATTGTCTGGTTTTTAGAAGTCAATATTTAGCAGCTTATTGTTGTATTATATGATTTTTGTTTTGTTTTTATAACGTTTTGGACTGGTCCGAGTGGGATATTCAGTGATGTTACGTGATGCAAATCAAAGAGCATGGGCAATAGTTTTTTTTTTTTTTTTTTTTTAAATATTTACTTTCATTCATCAATCCGATTAATCGGCAATAGTTTTTTTCTTGTTGCTCTTTTTTGTTTTCTTTTGTATAAACTTATATACGTATAAGGTTTCTTTGTAGCTAGTAGCTAGTCGTCCAGAGACTTTTGTTATGTGTAATTTATCAATCTGCTCTATTATTGGAGAAATTTTTAACCCTTTATAGCTTAAAAATGGTTTTCTTTAAATCATGTAGGTATCTACATAAACAATGATGATCTCACCAATGAAAGTACATGAATCATTTAGTGTCCAAATAACATTTTATGGTTTTATATTTGTTATTTGGTGTCCACGTTTTCCCGTTCTTCTTTGATCATTAGATGTGAACCTTATGATAATGACATTGCACCAATTGTATAAAACTGTAATACATCATGGGAACCAACCCAAGTTTCCGACATCAGTTAATCTTTGCTGTCTTTTTTTTTTGCCTCAATTCTCTAACTTGATTTCTGAATAAACGAATAATTTCCGTGTGTTTTGTAGAAAATATATATAGATTTATATTTTCAGAGTGGTTCAACTCGAATTGCGGTTGAATAAAGGATACATCACACACAAATGAGCCTATTTTATTTATCAAAAATATTATTAAATAGATGCATGAAATACAATCCAGTATTGTGTGGGAAACGTTCTTTTATCTTTAGAGAAGAAAAAAATGACTACGCTACGGATTTTCGCCAATGAAACCCCATGGTACAAAGTATTTCTATAACTTATCATTACATTCACTATCACAAGCTTTCTCCCTTCTTCAGATCTTCTCTAATCTCTTTACTTCTATTTACTCGCAATAAGCCTAAAAGAGCTTCTTCTGCTTTTGATTTATAATAGGTTCAAAAAAAAGAATGGGACAACTAAATAAGCGAGAAACTGACCTTTTTTTATTTTTTCAGTCCAAAGCAGTTTTGTTTCTCCTCCCTGTTAAAGGCTTTGGTAATCCATCAAAAATTGAGCTTGTAATAGCCGCAGGTGTGAGCAAATCAGGTTTCAAACTCCATTTAGAAGTCGGCCATAGAGATATCGATGATGAACCGTTACTACCGTCTGGATCTTGTAGACTAGATGCACTAGATGATTTTCTTACACTGCTAAAGCTGTCTGAAACTGGAGCATCCATCAAGTTGATTGGTACAGGATTGAAATTACTAGTAGTCTCAGATTCTGCTGATGATAGATTGGTTCTGCTTGAGGCTTTCGATCTCAAAGCTAAGCCTTTCCCGGCTATTGATAAAAACCCTCCATTGCTGCTACTGTTCTCTTCTTTTAACAGAAGTTCTGGAGTGCGGGATGTAAAATCGGCTTCAGATTTTTGACGTCTTCTTCTAAACTTATCTGAACTTGAATCTTGATGGGTAGTGTTATCATCAGGTGACTGGTTGATCTCTTCGAGAAGTGCATTGACTAAGCTTCTTGATTTCCTGTGGTGGTTCAAGGGAGTGTTTGTGGATGGGAAAGGTCTGAGGTATTGACTGCTATCACCGTTGTTTTCTGTCTTGTAATTTCCCATCTCCAAGGATCCTCCTACAGAGACTGTTCTGTTTGCTGGTTTTAGCCCGTAGTAACCTTGTAGTGAGTACATGGCTGGGGATACTTTCTTTTCAGAAGATTTCAATCTCAGAGAGTGGAATGAGTCAAACACGTCGCCGTTGCTTTCATTTCGCGATTCCAGTTCGTGGCATGAACATCCCTCTCTGCAAATAGAGATTCCATGTGCATTAGAGCAATGAAAATAGGATCACTTGGTAATGAATATGCATCACCAATGCTCTACTTAGGAAGACAAAAGAAAAAGCGTAGGTAAAGTAAAACTGCTCTGCAAATAAGAATCCATGACTGGAACTCAAAGCTAGCTAGAAACCAATGTATGACAAGAAACAGAGTATAGGGAGTGTAAACTGCTCTGCAATAAGAATCCATGACTACATCTCAAAGCTAGCTAGTACCCAATGTGAGAAAAGAAACAGAGCTTAAGAAATGTAAACTGCTCTGCGACTGCAATAAGAATCCATGACTGAAACTCAAAGCTAGCTAGAAACCAATGTGAGACAAGAAACAGAGCTTAGGAAATGTAAACTGCTCTGCAATAAGAATCCATGACTCAAACATAAAAGCTAGCTAGCAAACCAATGTGAGACAAGAAACAGAGCATAGGCAGTGTAAACTGCTCTGCAATAAGAATCCATGACTGACACCTTAAAAGCTAGCTAGCAACCAATGAGAGACAAGAAACAGAGCTCAGGGATTAACTTTTTAACAAGAATAATAAGAATATAGTACCCACCCATGGTTTAAGGAGCCATTAGATAAACAAGGAGAAGGAGGATGTCTTCCAGGCAAAGGAATCCGAAGAGACTTAAGAGCAAACATTTGAAGATCAGTAACAAGTCCATTCATCTTCTTAACATCCACAACCTGAAACAGAGCATTTTCACCAAACTCAAAAATTTTAAAAAATGCAGAACATAAAAAAAAAAAGCATAAACCTTTTCCTCACGTGTTATTATTCATCATTCATACCTCTCAATTCATCCAAATAAAAAAAAAAGTTAAATTCATTTTTCACCAAATACCATTAATTCCAAATTCTACACTTTTTAAATTAAAATAACAAACTTATAGGAGCTGTAAATATCCACCTCGACGCCGTATTTGATGGCAATGCCAGCGAGAGTATCGAACTTTGATACGCGGTGCTCGATATAGCCACGCTCAGGGGAGGAGCCGGAAGGTGGAGGAGACGACGTCGGAGACGGGATCCGAAGGATGTTGTTGGATCTAGAAGAAGGACTCTTCTCGCGGGATCGATTTGAGAATCCATCGTAGTAGCCGTTGGTGGATTCAGGAGTCCTCCCATTGCGAGCAGAAAGCCTTCTCTCTCGATCCGTAAACATAATTCCTTATCTTAGATCTGATCAGAGTTCAACATCGGACGGTGAGAATGGGAGAAAAGAGAAAACAGAGGAGATGATGATGAAGGAGAGATCTCTCTCTGTCTCTGTCTCTCGTCGCAGCGTGTGGGGTTAATACCAAATTGTTTTTAATGATTTAATTAATCCAAATTAATTTCATTATTAAGAGTATGCTTTCAAAAACTAAAAAAAAAAAAACACTATATACAAAAATATATTGATATTCAGAAATTGTTGCATTATTAAATTTGTTTTAACAAGTTGATTCTTATTTTTTCATTCTACTTTAAAAATCAAGTAAATAGTTCAAAATAAAATAAAATTGTAGTGTTTATTTTACAAAATTATCTGGTTATAGATTGCTTTCTCTACTGGATAAAATAATACAGCTTTTTAAAGTCAGAAGCCAAGTCTCTATGTTTGACAAAGAGAGTATATGTATAGTGTCGGCGAGAGGGAGATAGTTTATTAATAGGAAAAAAGTTTCTCAGCTACACAATGTTTACACTAATATGGTGGAAACCATCCTATGTATTGAAATGTGTTAGAAACTACACCAAGTTTATGTTAATACATGCCACATATACAAACTAAATAATTATATGGTGACAACATCATAAACGGATTTAATTGATTTTTATCTAAGTTAATGGGGCCAATTTGTAGTTAATAAAAATTCAATTCAAACCAAACAACCGGACCTTATCTAACCCGACCCAACCTAACTCTAATAACCACATTGTTAGGGTTTGTAAAGCAAAAATCGATTTAGGTTTCTAACAAACAGAAAGAAAGAAAGAAAACGAGACAGAAGACCTATTAAAAGAGATTACAAACCCCAGCAACCCAATTTCGTTTCTTTTCTTTAAAAAATGTGAGGAGTGAGAAAAATGTAAATCGGGGCTTAAGAAGTGTCAATGGGATAATTTTTTTGTGATAGTGTGGTTTCTGGAGATTCAGTTGTAGGAAGAGGATGAACCCTAGTTCCATCTCTCTCTCTCTCTCTCTCTCTCTCTCTCTCTCTCTCTCTCT